TTGACCTCAGTCAATAGATGCGCATATGCTTGCCACGTCGTGACGTTCTACTTGGCACGCCGTTGTACGCATCCTTCATTAGCATCTTACTTTGGTCATCGTGTCGTGGTGCCCATACATGGCATCGCATGGCATAGTACGTTGCCAATTTCTCTTACGACTTACTATCACCGCGCTGTGGTAACCTACCTACCACCCCGCGGTTCTGACTAGACAACAGCCCTTGGGCTAATTCCATTCCAGCTTTGGGACATTTTTCTCCCAACTTCTAACCTTTATAAGGTCTTCGTTTCGTACTCGTTTTCTATGGTCTTTATATCCATGCAAATGTGGGAACATAATCTACACCTCTATTAAGTCATCTCTCACCAAATTAATACGAGTCTTAATCTATTAAGTCAAAAATTAGCCTAAAAAGCATAAAAATCCCATTTTACCCTTTTGACCAAAATGCATCTTCTCATGCATTCTTTCTCTTAAACTTACTCATCTAATCTCATCTAAGTGAATTAAACTCTTATTGGCTATTTTCATCAAGTAAAAATTTCATATTCTCATATTTTTCTGTAACATCCCAAAAATCATGACCGAAAATTTTGTTTTTAATTATATTACTTGTAAAACTATTTAATGAAAGCACTGTCAATAACATAACAATCCATAGCTCATAAGTCAAAAGTCATAAAAAATGTCATGAAACAATAATAGTATATCAGAGTACAATTCCTAGGATATCATAATGCTGAAATCATGTGTGTGACGCGCTGCTACCGTGCCGGCTCCTTCCCCTTCGACGAAGAGGTACCTGAAAACAAAACTGAAAACTGTAAGCATGAAGCTTAATGAGTTGCCCCATCATACCACATACCATACATAACACATAATGCCAGGAATATCTAGGTGCCCGACCTACCCTGTTGAGCATACCGGGGTGCTCAACCTACCCTTGCCGAACATACCGGGGTGTTCGACCTACCCCTCCAGCTCATCTTAACTGGTTACGGGGACTATTTCACCCCTACTACTACCACATAAAATCATATCAGGCTAACACATAATCATAACAGATAACAACATATCATACAGTTATCACAAAGACAATCATCTTTACTATAACACTTACTAGTGGGCCGACCTTGGTGCCTTCGACCCACTTCTACTGGAAGGTAACTCACCTCATAAAGCTAAGTGTCAAAACTGTCCTCGCTGTCGGGATCAACTTCTCTCAACCCTACACATAATTATTTTCCTTAATTACCATTTCATGGTCAACTTAGGTCAAGGTCAAAGTCAAAGTCAACACCATGGTCAAGGTCAACTTTTGGTCAACTCGCTGAGTTCCATAATACAAAGTAAGGGACCCTTTGCATGTGACTCGGCGAGTTCATCCCTTGACTCGCCGAGATCATCTTCGTGCTAGCTGGGACATTTATTCCTTGACTAGTTGAGTTCATCATGAACTCGTTGAGTTCATCTTCATGCAAGGTGATGCTCTTAGTGCTGGAATCACCGAGTTCTTCCTTGACTCGCCGAGCCCATCTTCATATTCTTGGGACATAGCCTCGAACTTGCTGAGTTAGTTCACACACTTGCCGAGTCCCATGATTTCTATGTCCTCAATGAGTCCAACTGACTACATGTTCTTTTAACTCAACTCATGGTCTATTACTAGAAGGGATTTGGTGGGAAACTCGACCTGACTCGCCGAGTCTCTCTATGTATAAAACTATACACTCGATTTCAGTGGGTCTTGATGCATTCAAAACATAGATCTGACCTCCTAGGGTCCATAATACACGTAAAGTTCCAAACTTGACATCCATGCATGGGGTTTTTGGCTCAAAAGGCCCTAAAATGGAGTCTACAAGATGCATGGGGGTGCTTATGGCAATAAAGTTGGCACCTTTATAACATAAGAACCCCCAATGGTTCCAGATTTGAAGCCATACCTTCATAGATACACAAAATCCCAAGTATGACTCTATAAAAGCTTAGAAAAGGTGGAAATGAACCCTAACTAGAGATCTAAGAGATAGATGGTTAATGTTGAAGCTTTTTACCTTGAATGAGCTGGAAATGAAGCAAAACCTCTGGATCTACTTGCTTCTTTTGGAACCCCCATGTTTCTACTTCCTTCTTCAAGCTTGAAACAACCAAAAACACAAAAAAATAGCTCAAGAACACTCCAAATGCTTTAGGGTTTCAAGTTAGGGCTTTTCTGGACTGAGAGGGATGATAGAGGTTAGGTTGGGACACGATAAGACATTTAAATAGGGTGCAAACCCTAAATATTAGGGTTTCATCTAGACATGCCTACTCGTCGAGTCAGGGCATCCGACTCAGCGAGTAGGTTCTTCTTCCCGCGTCCAATTTTAACCTCTATTCGACGAGTTGGGGCCTCCAACTCGCCGAGTCCCAGAACAAAAGTGCAAAATTTTATAATTAAATTACGTACCAAGAACCAGGTGTTACATTTTCTCATAAATGACCATTTTGTCCTTTTGGTCAATATTTGACTAAAAGTCAACTTTCTCTAAATTTTAGGTTCTTACAATCGATCCTATCACATAGCAAGCAATATTTATCAACTGCAAGAGTATAAAGCCTCATAGATCTCTATTTAACATAAGTCTCATGGATTAAAGGTTATGCTAAAATTTTGTAGAGTTTCTGTTTCCCCGTTTCCTATAAAAAACATCTCAAGATCAAAAGAAAACTACATAAATTGTCCCCATGATTTGCATTTTTCTTTGCCTAAAGTCTAAAAAAGTTTTAACTTGCAAAAATAGTCATTTTGGCATAGCTTGGTTGCAAAGTTGGTCCGTAAATGATTTCTCTACCCATGCCCTTTTACTATCGAGGCTATATTTCTTCATGCACTTCTTCATGTGAAGATTCATTATGCTCGACTGTTTTTAGGCGTTTATCTTTTTTTATTAAGACATAGAGCTGCCTTTTCAAAGAATAATGCATTTCTTGATTCTTATGAAGTTCGGTTGTTTTAGATTCAACAAGAAACCGATTGACACTACTATTTTGTGTAAACCCAATAAACACACAATCAATAGTCTTGAGTCCTATCTTTTACAACCTTATTGTATGGTTTGATGATCTTTTCAAAACATCCCACACTCAAAGGTATTTGTAAGAGGGTGGTATACCCAATCATAACCCGTAGGATGTTTTATCTATTTTCTTGTGTGGTACCTTCTTTAAAAGCTAACTACATGATAATAAAACTTTCCTTACATGAACTAGGGTAATCTAGAACTTATCAGTATTATTCATAGTCTCTTTTAAAGTACAATTTTCCTTTCTACGATACCATTTTTTATGGTAAATAAGGTGCAGTAAATTCATGTCTAATACCATGATTTGCATAAATTTCTTTGAGTGGTGATACATACTCACCTCTACAAACACTTGTTACTCTAATCATTTTGCTGAGTTGATTCTCAACTTCACTTTTAAACACATTAAACTTATTTATCACTTCATATTTACTTTTAAGAAAATAGACATAACAAAGCTTAGTTCAATCATCAATAAAAATGATAAAATACTTATTTCCATATCTAGATGATTTGACTTCACATCACAAACATTTATGTGAATTATACCAAGGGCTTTAGTAGTTCTTTTAATGGATTTGTATGATTATCATGTTGATTTCAATTTAACACATATGTTGCATTCATATTTTGAGTCGATATGAAAATGGGGTATGTGTTTAAGTTTAATTAAACATCTTACAATGACAGATCTAAGTCTAACATGCCATACATTTGAAGACTAAAGCAAGTACTCAAAAAAGTTATTTATTTCATTCATATTTGGCTTAAAATCCATTACATTAAGTTTAAACATTCCAGTTGATCAACAAACCCATTTCCCACAAATATACCATTTTACTTAATACAAACTCATCTGACTCAAACAGTAAACAAAAATCATGCTTGTTCAACAACCACCCAAAGACCAAATTCTTCCTAATCTCTAGCACACACAACACGTCATTAAGCGTCAGATCCTTTCCTGATGTCATCTTTAACACAATCCTCTTGATGCCATAGGGTTATGAAGTAGTCGAGTTGCTCATGTCGAGTTGGACATATATTAATCCACCATTCCTAGGGTTCAACTCCACGTGGTTGATTTTGATGGGTTTTCTAGGTTACAACATAAAGATTTGCACAATAGATTTTACACATAAACTCTTATGGGCACATGTAACCTAGAACTTCTATGACATTTTCATTATTATAGCAACATACTTTATGAAACAACAATCAACCTACTAAAATCGAAAGTACAAGACAAGTAAACATGCCTTTAGCAACAAACAATTGATGCTAGTAACTTTCTTGTAGATTTTCTTGAAAAGACTACCTCCAATAGTGTGATAACCTCTAATGAGTCATACCCAAAACCCCAGGAAACCCTAAGATCGAGATTTAAGAGATAATGGAGAGGGAGAAACTGATTTCTCTTGTATATGGGGCTAGGGATCGTTTTTATAAACGGATATAACCCTTTATATAGTTGTCAGATAACCTTGAAACCCTAGATATGAATATTAAAATAATATTATTTTAAACTTATTCAAGTCTTGTTTCCTTATCTGACCCAGGAGGCTTCCAGAACCCTTCTTAGGCTCACTAAAATCGTCCATAGGCAGGAGGTTCTAGAATTGCCTTAATTCTTTAACTATTAGACAATTACAATCCAACTCTTCTACCTTTTATTAATTCTAAATAATCCAAAATCAATTCCAATTAATTCTAACTAATTCTCAATTAATTATTACTATTTCCAATTAATATATTAATGATATAATATATTAATAAATCATTTAATCTCTCTCTCTCTCTCTCTCTCTCTCTCTCTCTCTCTCTCTTAATATCAATCCTTAATATTTCCTTGTTATGAGAGCTACTAAAAAGAGCTTTACTTTTATTTTTAAGCTTATACCCATTTAGTTAAGTTCTTAGACATCTTAACTCAACAGACTCCACATATTATCATTATCGTTGCAAAATTAATGTCAAACACAACACAAGTTTATAACATGATATTCAATCACAATTATAGCAATCTCCTAGGAATCTTTTTGAAGGTTATATCCTTCACTACCAAAGTTAGCACCTTCCTTTCTTTTTGTTTTTGCCTTCCACAAACTTGTTCTTCACTTTTGTTTTTGCCTTCCACAAACTTGTTCTTCACCAAAGATTAACCATGCTCCACCATGTCACCCTTTAAAAAAGTATAGTATAACTAGTCTTTTGAACCACCTTATTATCTTGAATTTAGCAGATGTGTTGTACAACCAATAAAATCAAAACGAATGATTTGTTTTTGAACGACAAACTATTCTACTCTTAAACCACTCATTAATTTTATTTATGTTCATGACAAGACTTGAACCTCAACCTCAAAAAGAGAAAACAACACATGATACTGAGCTAGATACCCTTTAATAAAAACCAAAACCTACGTGTACTAAATCTAGGGATGTAAAATGTTAATTGTGGAGTTTGATAGGGCTACAAAAAACCATGTGAATTGTTGAGTGTGAATAAAAGTTATTTTGTAGAACACGCTTTTAAAACTATCCATGAAATGAAATTCCACTAAACTTACAGATCAAAAAACCAAAAATCTTTTCAAGACACACCCAACGTTAAAAAAACAAAAAAAAAAAGAGTAAGCAAACATGGAAGAATATAATTTGTCTTTTTAACGAAGGGTAAAAGAAGTCGAATCACTTACTTAGGCTTAGGTTTTTAAAGGAAAGCGACCAGCTCGTATCTCCTCAAAGGAATACTCAACAGCATGAGGAGCAAAAGGTGTTGAATTCGGGGTAGTACTAGTCATGGTTATTTTCATTAAGGATGATGCTGATGATGGAGTTGTGGGTAAAGTCATTGTGTTTGTTGGGGTTTTTATATTATTGGTGGATAAAGATGAAAGAACAGGAGAAAGAGGTTTTCTAGGTGGTGGTGTTGTTTGGGTTTGGGTTTCTTGTTGATTTATAGATGCTTTAACATTTGAAATGCTCCTCAAATTACTCTTGCCTGAAAACAACAATTATTTATTTATATATATAATCAATTTGAGTTATTTTTATATATTGTGAACGTTTGAAAAGATGGCAATGGATTTAAGAATTACCAGGGTGGATTTTTGCATGACCACCACTGTGGTGAGAGTAATGTAAATTGTGAGCGTTTGAAGAAGAAGAAGAAGAAGAGGAAAAAGTGCGATTAAGCTTTGGAGTTTTAAGCATTGAGCCAACAACTGAATATCGTCTATCGGTAGAACTACTACTCATCATACTTGCTGCTTTAATAAGCTTTTTTCCACTCTTTATTGGACTTGGTTTTGACCCAAAACGTGCTTCTTGCTCAGCTATCAATTGTTCTTGAAGTTTCTTCTGTTCCTAGTTTCAAAATTTAATAAAGTTGATTAGATAAGAAAAAGGACATGAGATATCTATGGGGATTTTTCATTTTTTTACCCTTTGCTTTTGACGTTCTTGTTCCTTTTCGTGTTTTTGGATGTCGTAATCATCCAGCATTGAGAGTAAAGAAACCTGTGATCATGAATACAATGTAAAAATAGATGATGACAATTTGTGATTGGTGCATTGGGCTTGCATTGGACTGATGTAACGAGACAAAAGCTGTTTATGTTGTTCTAAAATGAATGAGACAAAAAAAAAATTACAACTTTTTGTTCAATTGAAAGAAGTAAATGTGGGCATGACTCACTCAAAAAAGACATAAATACCCTTCTAATCCTCAAGACAAAGAATAAGTAACCCATGAGACAAGGAGCACTTGAAAAGACGTATATAATTTTGATCATAAAAGATAGCTTTAGAAAATTTTAAAAAATATTGACTGAAGTTGGGACAGAGACTTTCTCGAAAACACATAAATAGCCTTATAATTTTATCATAAAAGATAGCCCTAGAAAATTCCAAAAATATTAATTCAAATTTTTGTCAAAGCAAAAAAATGTGAGTGTGGAACACTGACACACTAAAAAAGACGTAAATACACTCAAAAAGACATAATCAAGTCCCATGTAACAAATGCAAACTAAGAATTGAAGAACAAGTGCTTACACCATCGTAAGAAAATGCCACTCCTCTTTTTTGGTCCCATGATTTGGCTTTCTCACGCAGTGTTTCAACCATAGCTGTTTTATTCATATTATTAAATAAAGAAGGACAAAAACAAGTGTCTACTTTGTAATACAATACATCAAATAAATTTTCGCAGTTTATTGTTTTTGACTAATGACAAAATAAAAGAAACTCATCCATAGGTTTCTAATTTGGTGACTTGTATTTATTGTGGATGAATTAAAATCATCATGTTTACTAGTAAAATAATATAATTTTTTTTTTTTAACATAATCAAATAAAATACAAGAGACTAAGAATCTAGTATAGATTATATAAGAGTCATACCAGGAATTTTATGAACCAAAGCCCGGGCTTTCTCAGCACGTTTTAAAAGGAGATGGGTCCCTCTTCCAGAATTATAACGGTTGTGATCCTTATTGAATTGCTATTTATCACAATTTTTCCAGTGGAGAAAAGTAAAATAAATGAGAAAGTTGAGAACATATTACATACCCTGTTGTACTCTTCTAGCCAGGTTTCCTCTTCACATGCAGCTAACCATTTATCAATCTTTTCAAGTATCTCTTTTCTAGCTGAAGCTTCCTCCTTCACCTTTGACATTTGAAGGTCTATTTGTTCTAACAAATACAAAGGGTCAACTACACCTGCAAAAAATAGCAACTTACTTTATGATTCTTTTACCCATAATAGTACTATGTTACCAATAATACCAACATACTTACATTTTAGAGTAAATTACACGAATGGTCCCTATGGTTTAGGGTAATTTGCACGTTTGGTCCCTAACTTATCTTTTTAACTCGGAAGGTCCTTATTGTTTGTTTTTGTTACGTGCTTGGTCCCTATCTTACCTAAAAAAAGACTATTTTGCCCTTGATTTTTTAATTTATTTCCCCAAACCCAAACCCAAACCCAAACCCATCCCCTTCACCTTACCTTATCCACCCCATCATTTTTCCCTATTTAAATAATAGTCTTTTTAGGTTAGATAGGGACCTATCGCGTAACAACAACAAATAGTAGGGACCAAGCGCGTACCAAAAACAAACAGTAGGGACCTTCTGAGTTAAAAAAATAAGTTAGGGACTATGCGTGCAAATTACCCTAACCATAGGGACTGTTCGTGTAATTTACTCTACATTTTATTTAATCATAATAGGTATACACAAATGAAAGAAAAGGGTAACATAAATTTCAGTTTTCATGATAAAAATTGAGATTTTTACCAGATTCTAAGGTTTCAGTAGAAAAATCGATTGCTTCATGCATTACAACAGTCATGTGAGCCTCTTTGCATATTTGCTCCAAGTCTGCCTTCCTTTTCAGGAGTACTTCCATTATCATGCTTGCTTTTAATTTTTGCAGCTTGAAAATCTCTGACTCGATCTTGAAAGTATGATAATATATATCAACAAATTGAATTATGTAATATATATAGTGAAATACTATAAATATATTTTCTCCAATTAAATATACTCACGAATTTAATGGACTCTAAAGAGAGAGCATTGGGTTCTGTGACTTCATTCTCTGAAGCACCTATATAACGTATGACATTTTGGAATCGTTTTTGCTCATCATTTGATATGTCCATTAAATTCCAGAGCCCCACCATGGTTGTTGCAAGATCTTGAACCTGGAAGCAGTTGTTAGAGTATAGTGTTAGATGCAAGAAATAGCAATGTACTTTCATTGATTTGTTTGATATAGCATCTTACTTCTATTTCTTCCTATTACAACACATATTATGGAAATGTAATCCAAATACAAAGAAATTAAAAGTAAGATGCTGTGATACACAAGTAAATGAAAGTGAGTTGTTTCTTGCATTTAGCATTAGAGAATATGAATATAAACAAGTTGTTGATAGTAATGGAAAAGTATTATAATTAACCTTTTTCAATCTCTTTGACTTGTCCTCATTCAACCTACAAACTGCATTAGACAACTTCTCCATTGTATCATCAGTTATGCTTTTTTTGCTTCCTGGATTTCCCAAAGTGGGATGAATCCCATTAATTTTAATTTTGAAATCCATCCCAAGAACTCCACAAAGTGAATGAATAGTAGTTAAATGGTCCAACACTTGCTTCAAACGATCACTCTGTATTAATAAAAAAAAAAAAACAAGTTATGTATATTATGCTTTCTCAGGTGTCAATTTATTTATAATTTTCTCTTGTTTTGGATCATACCTTTTCCTTCTCCAATTCATGTAATTCAATCTTGAGTTCTTCCAGTCTTGTCAAGGACAAATCAGATTCATCAAGAATCGGGAGACATGATTTGTCCTTTGTGGATGTGAATAGTTCCTTTGATAAATTTTGTATTTGATCCAAAATTTCTGTAAACAGAACCTTCCTCTCATTTTTCTTCTTCTGCATCATTTCCACTTGTGGAAAAATGTCTGCAAGTTCTTTTATCAAACTACCTGGCTCAATCTGTACATGTTAAAAAGCATACCTTTTGTTAATTATTATAAATCATGATTGATGAAATATAAAAGGTCAAAAGGATGGTTGTATGCTAAGATTACTAACCTGTATAATAGGTAAAGATCGGTCTCCTAATGAAGCACATATGGAAGCAAGTTCTGCTTGTGAGTCAGCAATAGCTTGTCTTAGTTGAGCTCTAAAACGGTTTGCCTGATCTACTTTTCTTTGATATGCATCCAAACATTCTTGTTCCAATTCAAGAAGCATTTTGTCCCTGTTTTTTTCAGGCTCTCCCACTTCATCCCATATTTTCTAGTCCAAGAGACAAGTGTGATGAGATGTTGTCTTTAAAATTACTATGAATATAACAGGTTGTAGTGAATAAAAATGGTCAGAAGATAAGGAAATATTAATCAAACCTGCAACTCTTTTATGAGAGAAACACATGTTGTCTCCATTGGATTTGCTAATGAATAAGAAAATTTCACTCATCAGTTGACAGATATAATAATTTGACTAATAATAATGATTTTGAATAGCACATGAAACTTAACGAAGATATACATACAACAGGGTATTATAAACAATCACATCTTCTAATCTGACATTCCCAATCAAATGGATGAACCATAAATTTGTTGAAATTGGATTTATAAACAATGACATTTTCCAAGGAGGATATGTTAAGAGATAATGGTCCACACTCCACAATTCCAAAATAACATGAAAGAGGTTGGTCATAACCAATAACCAATTTACTTCATATCATCAGAAGTCATGAAATGAGTTATATACAGCTTAAATAGCAAGAAGAAAGAGCATTTGATGTAAAACATTTCCCTGATTCTGCATTTCAAACCGAATAGCTTTTTAATCTACTTGTTCACCAAAAAGAAAAGCATAACATTACATATCAATCTTATAACTTATAGAAACAGATACTAAACTTGTGCTTTAGCAAACACAGAGAAAAGTAACAGATATTAAATGATGAAACTACTCTTTAGGTACCAATTTGCATCACTGTTGACTTAGATATAGAAACATATGTTAATATTTACATCTTCACTTAATTTTTTGCACTTAAACACTAAACAGACAGTTAACTACAAGTCTGTACACATGTCTTAATTTATTTTTTCTCCTGAATCAAACTGAAACCTAGCTTGCCCTAAGTTGATAACAGAATCATATTCATATTTGTGCAAATTTACTTGTCCAAACAACAGTTGAATTATCAAATTTTACGTTCTGAGCCAAGGTTACACCAGATAAACTTTCAAACGTACATCGATTAAATGTCAAGTTCCAAACTGACACAGGTCAGTTGAACTCTTTACCACTACATGAAGAACGATATTGTATGATTAACAACATTCATCTCCGTTCTGAATGCGATTAACAAATTCAATTTCGATTTTTTTTATATATTTGTGCGATTTGTTTGTCAAAAAAGGAAAAAAAATACTAGTTCTACTTTCAGATCGAAGTTAATAGCAGATCAATTTTCACATATGCAAAACACTGAGTAAAATTCCAAATTCGAGATGACATTATTTGAACTCTATAACTACTACAACATGTCGTAATGTGTAATTAGTAACAGCATTCGCTCGATTATGAATGTTATTGATAGAAGATTAACTTCACTCGCGATTTAATCAAAGAAACAGACGTGATCGATTGACAAACTTACTGAATCAAACTTCCGACGCTTTCTAAGCCGCTAAAATAGTTTTTCCACCGGTACTCGAAGCTTTCTCCGGTGACCGATGAGATTATTCCGATGAGTGGTGAATTGTAGAATCAAGCGTGATACGAACGAAAACTGGCAACAGATCAGATGATTGTTTGTGTTTATAGAAAGAGCGCAAAGTTAGCGGGGGTTTCAGTCGTTATACTTCCTTTCCTTCTGTTTTTGAGTTTTTGAATTAATTACTAAAAGTAAAATGAAGTTAAGAATAAATTAAAAAAGGTCCTTATACTTTTGACTAACTTAATAACTTAGTCCCTTAAGTTATCAATCTTTAAAATGTTAACACCATTTCAATCTCACTCACCCGAGAATTTGGCGATTCAATGATGGTTCATGAATGCAGCAACGTCAAGACAATTTTGGTTGTAGGTAATTGAAATTATATCAATGTATATTATTTTTTTCTTAAATGAAGACATTTGTTACAGTTATGGCAAAGTCTTCTTAAATAAACACATTTAGTGGTCTTCCAAATTGCAAGTGATTAGTATCTGAATTCACGAGATGCCTGATGCTTGAGGCAAGAAACGTCGCTTCAATATTTTGCTTCGGTGATACCTAAAACAATCTTGGGTGGGACTTGAGAAGACACTCCGATGATAAATTCAGTATTCCGTAGGAGGGAATGATTAGAACTCGAACAAGAATATTAGAATTTGTGTATCTGAATCCGCAGATGTAAACTTTGACTATTTATAAGGTATGAGTTACCTTTTATTTAGATTGTTTGGAGAGTACGTCTAGCAATGTGAATAAGGATAGCCTTATAGATAAATTCAAACTAAAATTCTTCTTGATATACGTAACATACATTTCGATCAACACACATTATATATATATATATATATATATATATATATATATATATATATATATATATATATATATATATATATAAAAGTTTATAACCCGTGGAAACCACGGTTATAAAACTAATTAAACTTTTATACTAAAAACTCAAAATTATTAATTAATTATTTTAAATAAATTATTAATTAAGAGATGTTTTTATTAGTTATATGAAATTATAATCATTGATTCAAATAAATATGTAAAATTAATTTTTAATAAATATTAGATCTTTTTTATTTGTGAATTAATGAAAACAATAATATAAATTTAAAATTTAAATTTAAAATAGAGAATAAATACATTGACAAATAGCATCACATTAATAGATATATAAAAGTTATGTTTAAGGCCCGTGCTAAGCACGGTCCACGGAAGGTAATTTTGGTTACATTGTTGTTATGAGTAAGGGATTCAAAATAGATATGTTGTTAGCAGTTAGGTCTAACAATCGTGTCGTGTTCGGATTGGCGGATAAAAATATACCAACCCGAACACGAGCCATTTAACTACATAGGTCACAAGTGGGCGGGTTTGGAACATAAACCCATTTATGATCTGTCAAGCCGGTTATTTATACGGGTTCACTGGTTGGTGGTTTATGGGTCAGATTTGGGTTCGTGTGTTCGTGGGTTGGATCGCAACAAATCTATTGGCTACTGTGTTGTGAGTTCATCATTCAAGTTCAGGCCCTAGGATTAGAAATTGTGATCTTATATTAAGTAAGTAATTCCTTTAATAAAAGGTTAGTTTTTAAAATGAAATATGATCCTTATGCTTGCTTCAGGTCTTTTTATTTGATCAATATCTTGTATCATTTTTTGCAATTTAGTTTACTCTAAATGGTATAATAGAAAGAAAAAAAATACAAACTTGATGTTGCAGTCGAAAGGACTATTATTTTGATAACTTGCATGGGCTTCACACTTATGTATACATTTGATGTAAGAAGCACATTTTATGTAAGAAGCATATTCTCTAAAGGTCATTAATATGTTATCAACATTAGTTACTACATGTGACAGTTACTTCGTTTGTGTGGTTATCAATGCTATCAATTGCATCAAAATAATACGAACTTTTTCTTATTTCGGTTTGGTACCTCATAATAAGCACTTCTGAATAAGTTTGTTTCCCTTGAACTTGTGCTTATTAGAGATGAAAACTATTTTATTATGTACCCTTATATTAACTTTACAACAAAATTATAATCCTAAACACTATGAATCCTCATTATTAGATCGTTTAAAATCACCGGTTTTGACCAAATCTATTTCCTTCTTTCTAGTCAAAATCCTTGTTTCAAAACCCTTCAAGATCCACTATGAATTGTATCTGTTAAATCCTTCTTTTTGGAAGGATCCTAATGTCCATTTCAATTATATTATTACCTTTATTACTCTATAAGAAGTAAGCTTTATTAAAATGTATAAAATCTATCACATACAGAAGCCATAACAAGTTGAAAACACATCCATGACAGTCTTTGTGACAAAGATTTCCATCCTTCCTTTTCTTAAAAGAAATAATAAAAAAAATAAACAAGAACACACCTTTATTAGAGATTAACATACACATGGTTATTGTATTCATGTATAATATTCGATTAATAATCACTTATGGGTGGGTTTACAGAAACATATGAGGAAAAACGTCTAGAAAACAGAAGGAAAAATGGAGAGTGAAAAATTATCTCGATTTAAAAACCTTATATTTAATGGGAGCAAAATATTTATCTGTGTAGGAAACAACAAAGCATGAGAGTCTCTCGTTTCTTCTCTTTCCAGTTGCCCGAGTCTGTCTTTAATAATAAAGAACATGTGATGTGTACTAAGTATCAAGAGACCAAGAACAAGAATACTTACACGAACATAGGGCTATATGTATGTATGTACATGCTTGTCTTGATAGGAGGAATATAGATCTATGTCAAGGAAAGCTAAGCCATGAAAAATAAAGAAAAACAAAGCAAAGTTAATGCCTCATATAACATGTGTTAGGAAGTAAAGTGGATAACTAGCAAAACTATAAGCACACAAGACATAGTATTTACGTGGTTTGGTAAAGGTAACCTACATCCACGGACAGGAGGGGAGTATTCTTTATTTCAGAGCTCTCAAACAGAGGTTACAAATACAGTTTTCATAGAGATTTGCCTAGCACTTTAGAATTTAAGATCCAAGATACATCAAATGACTCAACAGGCATCTCTATTTATAGTTGAGGGATCAGACCTAAAACCCTAATGGGACAAGCCCATTGGCCCATATGCATATGAAAAGTTTCAACCAATAAAAATCCACCATGTAGCATCTTCTAGAACATTCTTCCATGTCATACAACCCACGAGCATCAACAACACACATGATGGACCACCTTTACCATAGTGTAACATCCTAAAAATCAGAGTAAATTTTTTCATTTTTCAGAAACAACCTAAACACCATAATTTTTTACAAAACGTTGTTTCAAAAGTATAAGTCATAAATCAGAGTATTCCAAAATCTAGTAACATAAAATCCGAAGGAATGTGCATGATCATGCATTTGCTTTCCCCCGAACCTCTGAAATACCTGAAACAACAAGCTGAAACTGTAAGCCAAAGCTTAGTGAGTTCCCCAAAAGTACCACACACAACCATACAAAACAAAAACATGCATACATGAGCCTTCATCATGATTGGACCGGCTCGCAGGCCTAAAGACTATCTGGACCGCTCTTAGAGTAGTCGAACTGACTAGACCGCCTTGCAAAACTTTAGTCTATCAGGGTTGCCCTGTGTATCTTGGCCTTCAGCACCAGCTGGTCTGCCTCAACCCATCAAACCTTAACATGTCGACATATATAATATCAATCAATAATCAGTAAACACATGTAGTCATATAGATCTACCAGTCTAATCACATAACCAGTAAACACATATCTCAACATAATAACACACAACAAAACAGGATATCTAATCCAATGGGTCGGCCTTGTTGCCTTCGACCCATATGTACATTGAGGAAAACTCACCTCTCAGCTTGAACAAAAAGCTGAATAGGTATCTGCTCCGAATATCATCTCTACCCATAACATATTCATCAAATAGTAACCAATCTCAAATACAACTCAAAATAACCAAAATACCCTTAGGTCAAACTTGGTCAAATCCCAGTCAAAGTAAAAAAGTCAAACTTGGTCAACATAGCTGAGTACACCCAACGTACTCAACTTATACGCTTAACGTACACGAGTTTGACCAGAAAATGTGATGCTAGCCTGGTAGGCCTAGCGTACCATTTCGTATGCCTAGCGTACATTGCCTTCACTTAATCCTTCTATTAAGAGTTTATTTCGTTAAGCTCTTTCATCCAATTTTTAGATCTAGCCCTAAAATAATGTCCTTAACCATAAAGTTTCCAACTTTATGGTATTGCATGGCTATTATGGGCCCAATGATAAAACCCTAGCTTCCTAACTCATTAAGAGATTGTAATTCATGCATGGATGGAAACAAACAATCAAGATTGCATTTTTATGACCTTAATGTAACATCCCAATTTTCGAGACCAAAAATTTCATTTTTAATTAAATAATTCACAACATAGTTTACCAAAACATTACCAAGGTCATGTCATTTTATAACAAAAAGGCTATAACAACGTGTTCGAAAACCATCTCAACACACGTAATATAAATCAGAGTACAATCCCAGAAACTCAATGCGGAAACCATATGTGTGTGTGATGCGCTACTACACCGTCGGCTCCTTCCCCTTAGACGAAGAGGTACCTGAAACCAAAACTGAATCTGTTAGCACAAAGCTTAGTGAGTTCCCCCATCATACCACATACCATACAATCACATAACATACATATTGCCGAGCAATTTTAGGGTTCCCGACCTATACATATCAAGCCATTATGGGGTGCTGACCTACCTATGTCAAGCCATTCTAGGGTGCTGACCTACCAATGTCAGGTCGTTCTGGGGTGCCGACTACCCTCCGGTCTATCTCAACCGGCAATGGGGACTATTTCACCCCTACCTCTATCATACAATAACAAAATATAATCATACGGTCAGGCATATCTGGGTTACTGACCTACCCTTCGGTCCTAATGACCGAGTCAGGGAAAAGCTATTCCCTACTACTACTACTAACTCATATAGCATATCACATAAGCATATATCATAAGCATACCACATAAGTATATCTCATAAGCATATCACATAAGCATACCAAGATAATTATCACAAAGACAATTATCCATCAATTACTCTTGTTGGTGGGCTGGCATTTTTGCCTTAGCCCCAC